AGGCTTTCTACTCCCGTAAAGATTTACACCCTCGGAAACCCTGTACAGGGTCGCTATGGGTCGGACCCGACTCGATGGCACTTAACAACAACAACAACATCAACCCTATAAAGGGTTGCTATGAGTCAGAACTGACTCAATGGCACTTAACAACAAGTCAACCCAGTACACTGAGGAAACAAGGTTGTTCCTTGATATGAACATTCCTTCCATTCCATTTGGAATTTTGAGTCACTGCATTCCTAACCAAAAGTTTAGTTCGTCAAATTGTTGCAATTGGCACTTGTTCAAAATATCAAACATCTTTATCTTCCTTGGATCTAATTCTGGTCAATGAGCCATTCAAGCTAGGTTAAATGGGTAATATCTGCAAGTTTGGAAGTTCACACACACCTGCCTGCACTTCAGACCAGCTGGCAGCTTTACTCTCACCCCTATTTCCCATGGGCTAGGTCAGTGCTCATGGGCTTAAGAGTTCACACATCTTTCTAAAGTTCAGACCAGCCAGCCATTCCTTTTCTCTCTCATATCTCAAATTCAATGGGTGCCAATGGAACATGGTCAGATGCAGCCCATGTCTTCATTGCTGCATTTCCCCCACTTCTACTCACACATAGATCCAGGTGGTCACCAGTGAGCATACTAGACTGCTCAAAGATTCCCTTTAAGTTTCAGTGCTAAAAGGAAGTTTCCCCTGACTTTGCCTGCCTTGATGCTTCCAAAGTAAAGAGTTTGATTGAAATCCAGACACCCAAACAATCCACTTTTTTATCTGTAGGTTTTCTTTCAGTAGGAATCTTCTGTTTTCCCAGCAGTTCTGGATTGGTTTGTATGTCTTTTCAAATGAGATCATTCCAACTCATAAGGTTCTTAGCGGGGCTCAATATTCCTTCCACCTAATGCACATACTCCACAAAGGCTTAACAAGAAACCTATTTTACTGGACAAATTCTGTGTCCCAATCAGTTAGAGGCTAAAGGTGGGCTTACAAGCTTTCTGTCATCCTGATTTTCAGTATTCATTTCTATCACACATACATGTCTATTTTTAAATAGTTGCTGTTGTTTTATGCCAATTGTGGGTTCCAACTCAGCAACCCTGTATAGGGTTTCTGAGGAGCAGCTGGTGGGTTTGAAGTGCTAACCTCGTGTTTCACAATCCAGCACTGTCCCATTTAGCCCATGCATACCTCCCTAAGTCTTCCCCTATCTTCATTGTTCTTCTGTAACACTTCCTTTTCTTGTGAATTGCCCTCACTGTTACCTGAGCTAACATATGTCTACCCTATAGCCTGTGAATTACTCTCTCCTCTTTCACACCTGATAACCATCTAAGAATGTTTCCTCTAGTATGGAAACCTTGTCTTAAGCTTTTACAATAATGGTCTCATACAATATTTATCCTTTTGTGATTGACTAATTTCACTCAGCATCCTATCCTCAAGTTTCATCCATGGTTTGGGGTGTTTTGCTGATTAATCATTATATTACAAGGTTGTATAGTATTCCATTATGTGGATTTACCAAAGTATGTTTGTCTATTCGTCGATTTATGGGCACTTTGGCTGTTTCCATCTTTTTGCTATTGTGAATAGTGCTGGAGTGAACATTGTTGTGCGTGTATCTACTCGTGCACTGGCTCGTGATTTCTTGTGGATGTATACCAAGTAGAGGCATTACTGGATCATATGGTATTTCAATTTCTACCTTTTTGAGGAAGTACATACTGCTTCCAGATTGGTTGAACCATTTTACAGTCCCACCAGTAATGTAGGAACATCCCAGTCTCTGCACACGCTCACCAGCATGTTGTTTTCATTTTTAAAATTTTGGTGCTAATGCTAGTGTTAGATGATATCTCATTGTTGTTTTGATTTGCATCTCTCTAATGGTTAATACGTCGTTTGATTTCTTGACTGCTGCTTCCGTGAGTGTTGATAGTTGATCTAAGAAGAATGAAGTCC